AATCCACATACCTTTAAATTTTGAACTTCCAAGGTATCCATTAACTTCACTTAATGTCAAGTAGATAATCGTACATCAGTTTTGCTCAATTTAATAACTGCACCTTAATTTTATTTTAATTGGGTACTCCATCCAATTCCGTCACTTGAACTAACGGGAATCAATGACGTGACAGTCAAAAAATTATAGTTGCCATTTATTTCTGTGTGTAGTACTAATTCCACGTTAGCAATTAACATTTACGTGTGAAAGCCATCGTTTATTGACTGTCAAGTAAGTAATTTATGTTGGTGGAATTGAATAAAGTTACCTCAATTGAAATCAAACTAAAACGTGTACTTACCCGATTGAATTATCNTACCTTAATTGAAATCAAACTAAAACGTGTACTTACCCGATTGAATTATCTCATTGACGCAAATGAAATTTTACCTTACTTTCTCTACAACTTTAGTATTGATAAAATCTTTGATTCCTCATCAAATGTAGGCTGCTTGGGGAAAAAGTTAGGACCAAAAATCTTGGGAAGAAGACTTGAAGCAACCGTAATGTCCTGAACCCTGTTTTTGTCTTCACATAATTTCATACACCGGTAGTTGCTAAAATTTTAGCGAAATTTTGCGTTGGTTAAGTTCGATTACCAGCTTACAGCAAAATGAAATTTAGCGATATATGTGAAATTTCGCTAAAGATTTAGTGGGCATCAATGTTTTTTACTTCTTGTTCGATCTTTGAGACGCCATTCGGTAGTATGGAATTATTGAGATAATTGAACTCTCTCTCTCTCTTTCTGTTAGGTTCCTGAAGTTATATATCAAGTTCTGGAAGAACCTGTTAATCAAAGTGAAATAGAACCAGGACCAGAAATTCCTCAAACACTGCAAGATTTTGTTGCTGAGTTGAAAGATGGACAGTTAGATGCAAAGACCTTTGCTGTCAAGCTCAAAGCTATGGTAATCATCAAAAACAACATCTGATAAACCCGAACACACATACAGATTGTGAATTATTTCTGCCTAACCTGTCAAATGGCTGATCTCTCTCATTCTCACAGGTGACACTGTTCGAACAAAGGACCAGAACCGCGAAAATCCAGGAATACCTGTATCGCCATGTGGCATCAAGTAGCATACCAAAACAGCTGCATTGTCTCTCTCTAAGATTAGCAAATGAGCATTCTACTAATTCCAATGCTCGTCTGCAACTACCATCAGCAGAATTTGTTCCTGCCTTGGTTGATAACTCGTTCTTCCATTTTGTGCTCGCTTCTGACAATATCCTTGCCTCCTCTGTTGTTGCATCATCACTCGTGAAAAATTCATTGCATCCTGAGAGGGTAGTCCTACACATAATTACAGATAGAAAGACCTACCATCCGATGCAGGCATGGTTTTCACTGAATCCTTTGACACCTGCGATCATTGAGGTTAAAGCATTGCACCATTTTGATTGGTTAACGAAGGGGAAGGTCCCCGTGTTGGAAGCAATGGAGAAAGACCAAAAAGTTCGCTCGCAGTTTAGAGGAGGATCATCAGCCATTGTGGCAAATAACACTGAACAACCTAAAGTCATTGCTGCAAAATTGCAGGCACTTAGTCCTAAGTACAATTCAGTGATGAATCACATTCGGATACATTTGCCAGAGGTAAGTCTCAAAGTTGCTTGCTTT